CCAGCCGGTGCCAGTCTAGTGGCCGCCCTGCCCCACCGCCGGAAGGTGCCCACCTGCATGGTGATGTTGAAGTTCTCGGTGGGCACGCACTCCAGCCCCTCGTCATTGCAGCAGCCCCCACAGCGCATCAGGGGCACGCAGGACGGCTTGAAGATGAACTCGATCTCATCGGGGTACTCCTGGAAGATGTCCACCAGCGTCTCGATAGGACGGCAATAGCTGCGCCGGTAGACGTCCAGGAACTTCACCACTGCGCGGGAGGGGATAATCCGTGAGCGGGACAGTCACGCGGGCAGGGGCACCCAGCTCGGTAAGGCTCCTCCTGTCAGGCAGGCCCTAACGCGAACCCGAGGAGGGTGCCCCCTCCTCCCCCTGCTGAGGTGGAAGTCCCTTCTTGCGAGTGTCGGGAAGCTGTCCTGTCCTGCGGGAATTGCCTGTCTCCGTATCTGATGAGTCTGCCCTGCTGAACGCCAAGCCCATTTCCGGCTCGGCCCTCATGCCACAGGAGACCGCATGTGGGCAAACCTGCTGAGGGCTGGGAGGTACTAAGAACCCTGCCACGTGCTGTCTGTGACTTCCCTTAAAAGAGGAACCGCCAGCTTGGCTAACCTGTCCCATTTCCCTGTAACCTGCCCCAGCCACTGCTCTCCCCGAGGGCCCACCCCCCACCACGTCCTGAGCTAGCTGGGTGCTGTGAGCAGCCTTCTTTCCAAGCACATCCCCTCCCGCTGTGCTCCCCACAGGTACTGTTAGGACCCCCACTTTACAAATGAGGAGCTGGGGGGGGGGGCTGTTCAGAGAAGCTGAGGAACCTGCCCCAAAGTCACACCACTAGGAAGGAAGTGCTCGGTTCAACTCAACTGGTTCCGCACAGAGGTTTCCAAGGTCACGCAAAACGCAGAGGGGCAGCTTCTACCTGCCAGTCTCCCTGGGGGGCACGCGGTGCGGGCGCATGGACTCCGGAGGTGGTGAGCCTCAGTACAGGGTTGGCAGGTGGCAGTGGGCAGGCCCACGGGGCCCAAGCAGCCACCGGTAATCCCACCCAAAGGGCAAACTGCCTCATCCTGGGAAACCCGGCAGCACTGCCCATGCAGTCAAGGTTTCGAAAAGCTGATCTGGAGGGAGACCAGGGGACAGAGAGCTTCCCGGGCCAGCCGCAGAGCCTGGTGTGCACTGAAGCATGAAGGGGTAATTCTGGGCCACAGGGGCGGGTCCCCTGAGAAAATTTAAACGCAGGACTCGGGAATGACTACTCCAAACTGTGGCCCAGCCACTCCTCCCGCACCCCCCCTCCCACGTACCCCCACCTAGCAGCCCCGGCCTGGAGTGCACTCCCCCAACACAGGAGGGAGGACAAGGCACCCAGAGGCCGGGGCTCTGGCCCTGCCGTGGTGTGACCTTGGGCCTGTTCTTCCCCTGCCTGGGCCTCAGCCCCAGAAAGGGGGGTTCGTTGATCCCTAAAGGCTCTGGAATGGTGGTGGAAATGAGTTAGGAAGGGGTTAGTATCTGTTCCTCAGCCCAGATCAGACAAAGTCTGAGTCTCTCTCTACCTGTGGCCCAGGGGCTGCTCACTGCCCTCTGCCTTCCAGAGAGAAGATGAGCTGGGGGTGTCATGCTCAAGATGTATCAGGGCGGGGACAAGGCGCTTCAAGAACGCCATGGGTGTGAAAATAGAAAGGAGAACCATGTGAGAATCCAAATCAGTCCCCCAGGCCTTGACGAGGCCTCTGCTTGCCCTATCTGGACAACGGGCACACTCTTTATCTCCAAAGGATGACGGTAAAGAGTCACTGTAAAACATAAAGGAGGCAGGGCTCCGACGATGTCATCTTTGTAACCAAGTCTACACTGAAGGTGACTATATCAAGAATTCTTGAACTGGGACCTTCCTGTGATCGGGGACAGGGGTGGCCTGGGCTTTGGGGCCACAGAGCCCCACCCAAGAGGGGAAGACAAAAAGGCCTGGCCTAGACATTGGCAGAGGTAGCTGAGTACACAAAGACTCGGGGTTGGGCTTTCTCCAAGGGCAGGGAGAGGTAGAGGGGTGGGAGTCGGGGCCACTCGCAGGACCCTTTGCGCCCCACCCCACCCCCACCTCCAAGGAAGCTGTCTCCTCCCGCCCAGGCCTTACACACACATGTGCTCCAACAGGGGGCTCTGGTGGTCTTCCTTGGTTATCACACAACCTTTCCACCAGCAAACAAAGACCATTTGTCTTGCCTCTCCCAGATCACAGAGACCACTGGGAAGCCAAGCAGGATGCTAGCACACTGTGGG